TTCTTGGTATTATTGGTGGTTTTGTATTGGATATAAGATCATCACTTTCTTTTGCTCTCAGTAAAGAAAGAGAATATAAAGGAAAAAGCTTTGACAGGCTGACAAAGTTTATCTGACTTGTATACAGGTTGGTGTGATATATCGTATTTGGGCACATTAATCGCAGCCGGGTAATGTCAGGCTCGCAATCACTAGACACCATTTATAGTTATGAATAATATGTATTGTTCGAGAGAGTTCAACTCTTACCTAAATATAGTCTTAAATAAATTGAGCACTGGCAAGACTATCAAAGAATTAAAAAAAATAAAAATAAAAAAAAATAAAAAAATATTTAAAAAAGTTTATTATAAACAAAAATAGATAATTTATAAAAAACAAAAAAAAAAGTTGCAATTATGTAATCACCAACATTTACAAATCTCTTGGAAAGTTATATACACAACTTCAAATAAATCAAATATCAGATAATATATATTAATTTATATTAATTAACAGTTATATAATTAATATTAATATTATAATTAAATGATATATATAGTAAAATTAAATCATTCGATTACAAGTTAATAAATCAATAGAGTAAATATACAAACATGTAAAGACAAAAATTTATTTAGATTAATAAAAGTGAAATTAATTAGTTTGATTTCACATAATATATTGATATATAAAGTAAAATATTTTCTATATTAATTCTAACTAGGGAAAAATGCTATTTTTTAATTCACATTTAATAAAGCCAAACTTTATCTCTGTAACTCTTTTTATTTTCGATTTTATTTAAATAAAATCCCAAGTTAATAAATATAGTGTTAATTAGCTTAATTTGTTTCAAAAAAATTTACAAACACAAAAACTAAAGTTAATTATCTTCGACTTCATGATGTTAAACCGTATTTTCATGTAATAACGTGCAGGGGTGTAATTAAGCTTAATTTGGGCCATTATTCGAAATAACGCTCATGAGCATTATTATGCAAAAATATGGTATAAGTTGGAAATGGTAAGTGAACTCTTTTCTATGTTAATAAATGGTGATTAATCTTCAATATCGCATGCAGTTGGTAAATCAATGTGGTTTTTTTTTGTGTAGCAGATACGATGTAGTTATTAGATTGAATTATCATACATGATTTTTTAACTTGTTTTAAAAATATTCTTATAATATTAACTTACGAGCTGTTATGTAATTTTTTTTTTAGTATAGCAGAATCAGATATTGAGATGTAGTTATTATATTTGAATTATCATACTTGATTTTTAACTTTTTTTTTAAAAAATATTAACTTACAGGCTATTATGTAGTTTTTTTTTTGTATAATAGATATAGATATTGAGATGTGGTTAAAATATTAAATTTAAGTAATTTTAAAATACTAATGTTTATTACACTTATGATAGTTTAATTAATTAATAGATCTTTACTGCCCATGTATCAGATAGTTTAATTTCTATTAATTTCTTCAAATCAGTAATCGAGTTATTATATTCTTTCATCATAAAATAAATTTCTCTTCGATATTTTAATGCTATGGCATTATTTAGTTCAATTCTAGTAGTTTAGTAAAATCTTCAAGTGCTTCCTTATATTTGCTTATAATAAAATAGATATTTCTTCTATAGCTTAAGTAATTGTATTATTTTCCAATGATTTTGTTAATTGATTTATTAAATCAAGAAGAGCTTCTTTATTTTTGCCCTTAATAAAATAACTCTTTTCTTGATATTCAACTATGCTTAATTTGTTGCTAATATCTTTATTGGTCATTACAGTTTTATAATTGTTAGTAGCGAATATCAGGTATTAATTAACTATTACGTTCTTTTTCTTGTAATCATTGAACAAGAATCGGTCGCATTCGCTATTATTTTTTTTGGTGAAAAGGCAAGTTAGTTATAGCATTACTAGTTTTATAGTTGAATATTCAGTTGTAACTTAAATGCAGTATTAAAAGTCTTATCTTTTAAATAGATATAATAGAACTAGAAAATGTTGATCCTTTGCCTCAAAGTATTTCATCTACAACTATTTCATTGGTATTCCAGACAACTGAATCTACTTTACAACAACTCACAAATTTAATAGCTTTAAATTCCGAATTTAAGAGTATAAATGATGAGTTTGACGAGCAATCAGACGATGAGTTTGATGAACAATTGGAACTTTATAAAGGTAAATCTTTACAGTCCTTGATTTTTAAAAGTCAAAAGATGAATTTTACAGTATTTATGTTGTTAGGGCAAAAGTTTAAAACAGTTGAAGAAGCTTATATTACAGTTGAATTATTTGCTCATTCAAATGGATTTGGAATTTGAAAGGACATGTTGAAAAAGATGCAAGTGGTGTATATGAAATTTCAAGATCATTCGTGTGTCGTTATGCTGGGAAACTACAAAATAAAGACAAATCACATAAAACTGAAAGATCTGGTTCATGCCGGACGAATTGTAAATGGAAGGTCAATATTTATTGGAGCAAAAGTTTTAATGAATATCATATTTCAACTTTTACAAACATTCATACTGGCCATACTCTTGATGCGACCACCATACAATTTATCCCCAAAAATCACAAGCTTACTAAGGAGATGTTAAAGGATATCGAGTTTTATGCTCTATCAGAAAAAATCAATGCAAGCGCTCAATATCAGCTTCTTTTAGAAAAGTACAAAGTCCTGATTCATCGCAGTAATTTATACAATGCAATTACAAAGGTCAAAAGAATGGTCTCACATGGAGATAATGATGCAGCAGAATTGTTGTCTAAATTATTTAAAAAAAAGGAGGATGATTCAAAATGGGTCATTGAGTAGCAGTTTGATTCGAATACTATGCTTTAACACATCTTTTTTGGATGTCTCCAAATCAGCTTGATCTTTGGATGCAGTATAGCAATATTATTCTTCATGATGACATGGCAAAAACGAATATTTATAATATACCATTGTCGCTCTTCATCATTATAGATAACACCTACTAGTCTTGTCTTGTCGCACAAGCTATATTGGATGATGAAACAGCGGAATCATATTCCTGGTTACTTGAAGTCCTAATTAAAGCTACTGAGGGGCTTTATCTAAACACTATTTTGACAGATATCGATCCTGCCATGATACTCACTATTTCTACTATTTTACTTGCAACATAACATCTTTATTGCATTTGGCATATTAGGCAAAACCTACAAAAAAACCTTAAAAGCAAATTAAGCTCTAATTGGGATTCATTTATTAAAGATTTTTACAAAACTTGCAATATATTGGATCTACAAATTTTTGAAGATTGGTTTAAATCTTTGCAAAAACATTATCCAAAAGCTGCACTATATCTCAATATGCTGATAGGCGATCTTGGGCAAGAGCTTATACTTTTCGTCACTTCACTGCTGGTGCACAAGCAACAAGTCGTGTTGAGTCAATTAATTTACATATCAAATCTATTATATGCCATGGTACAACTCTGTATGATTTGTTCAATTCACTCGATTCTTTAATTGCTAGTTAAGACTATTATTATGACTTAATTAGTTGGAAATCATCAAATCCAAATATTAAACTACCAAATGTTTGTGATACTATGTATTCAAATGTTAACGCTATTCTCAAGAGCTTTGTTGTATTCAATCTAATTGAAAAAATCCGCTATGAAATAAACTATAGCTTATTTTACCATCCAACTAAAATCAACACAGAGTCTTTACATTATATCAAGTAAATAATTATTTCTGATGCGTCATATGGGTAGCATTTATTTTTACTAATGATTATTTAAATAACATTAATTAATTGGCAGGCCTGTTAAATTAGCGAAGCAATTATTAACTTCTATTTTTATTCCTTATTATAGATGCAAGACGACGATGATGATGATGATGCAGCATTCATTGATAATGCTTTTGATTATCCATTAGCTCATTCCCTTGCGCTCTTCAAACAAGTCGAAGATAAAGTAGTTGAAGTTTGGGAAGTGATACATATAACCTGGCAACATTCCCGGCTTCATGTATTTTTACTTTTGGATAGCTCTTTTATATGCAGCTATATATTATTAATTAATCGTGGGTATCCTTGCAGGCATTTTTTTCAGGTAATGGTGTTTTCTTTAGCTGCCAAATTTTCGATTAATTTTGTGGCAAAGCGTTGGTTGCTTGAAAAATATCAAGATAAAGATCTTGGTATACAACCTCTTGTCAATTTATCCACAGTTTTTTTGTCAGAATTATCTGAAGCATCAGCTCCAATGACTATATTATCATCAAATGAATCCTCAAGTTTATTTTCTGCATCAAATGAAATGTCCACTATGACTCGCTTTTCATTATCCGTCATTGCCAAAAAGGCAATGCAAAAAAAAAAAATTTATGCTGAGACTATTGGAATAGCACAAAAGGCTATTAATATCGCTATTGAAAAGGATGATCTGAATGTTCTTAAATTTTTAAAAACCTATATTCTTCAAAATGACTGTTCTCTTGTTGAGAATACAACTAATGCATCCGCCTCTGGCTATAAAACAAGTATACTCAAAGAACATTCTGAACCAAACGTTATTATTGAGAAGGTACAAGTTTCTAACTCTATAAAAAAAGTTAGAAAAGGTCAACCCCCAAAACAGCACGTTATCAATCAGCACTGGAAAATTAGTCATCAAAAGCTCAAGATAAACAATCAAAATCAGTATGTGGCCCCGGGACTAACACATGTGGAGAATGTGGTGGCAAAGGTCATAATCATCGATAGCATGCAAAACGTGTAAATAAGACTTGTGATTCAACGATTATATGTGAATTTTGTGGTGGGCATAGTTATAAAAAAGAGTTATATGATTATGATAATGTGGAGAAAAAGGAAAATGAAAGTAAATAGGTTGGCTCAAGTAGTTCAGAATCAGACGTCGAAATGGATACTAATGAGTAATTGTTGTATAGATCATTGTAATGGTTTCTTGTATGTGAATAATTGGCTATTCGCAAAATCCGAGTTTAGCTATATCAAATTTTATTTTGGTTCACATTAATTATTATGTGGGTAAAATAATATTAAAGTAAATGCATTATACTAGTAAGGCCATTTGCAATTGAAACTTCGTTTAACGTTATTTTTTTTATATTTACAGAGGGAAGAGGGGTGAAAATTAAACAAATATAAAATTAAGCATAGTGTACCAAGAAATCCCGGACATAAGCCGTAAATTCAGGCTGCTATGTTGGCTATTATATTTCTATTTGGGAGAAGCCTATATACAATATAGTTGGTTCTTAACTACAGCTACAAGAAATGTATATTATAATCATGGGTTGGATTTAAATTAAAAATTATGCAGGTATTATATATCGATAATTTTTGTACAAGTAAATAGAAATGAGATCGATCATACAATAACTAATTACTGCATGATTGATCATTTCGTGATCGATTAAATAAATTTTGATCGATTACCATCTCTTTAGCGCACCTACAAAAATTGTCTCTCCTGTGATTTTTGATCAATCAAATTTCAAGAACGGGCGTAATGTAAACAAACGAAGCGAAACCTTTTTTTTTTTACAAAAAAAACTGAAATAACTCGAAATTTTAATAAGAAACCACCTTCTCCGCCTAATTAAACTCTAACCCTATACTATCTATTCTCACCTTAACCCAAACAATAACACGGTTTTATAAATTACAGAGATATGGCAATTTTTATGTTACCTAAGGTAAACAATACTGATTTGTATTACATAATACTTAATACATAATTTATTAAATACTATATTTTGTTAGTTACACAATAGTACTATAGTATTACGACATATTACAAAACTATATGATACAGTGTTACAATTATATAATATGCATTATGAAATTTAATTGGCTATCTATAACCCCGCACATGGTGCAGAGTGCACCAAAAAATAATGCCCTTTAATATATAACTAATATTAATTTTTAATTTATCTAAAAATTAGTAGCTGACTTATTATAAATTTTTATTATATATAAATTTAAAACCTTTTTAATTAATAACTGCTTGGTATTTGACTTGGCAAATTTATTTAAAGTACTTTTCAGAAATAATTAATTTGTAATTGCCTGACATTTTACCTAGTAAAAAATTAAAAGTACTTTTTTATATAACGATCTACATTTTTAACAGTCATAGATGGTTACTATTGGGAAATTTTATAGAGAAATTTTTATATAGTAAAAATTACTATATTTTGAATTTTTTTGATTACTAGCCACCTGGAATTTTGGAAATTATAATATATAGCCGCCTAGTATTTCATTAAAATTAACAATATTATTGGCTTATAGAAAATTTTAGAAAATTAGAGTCATGTTTTTAAATTAAAATGTTTATTATTTTAAAATTTATTTTATTAAATAGAACTAAGAACAATTAATGTAGTGTAAGTGTAAAGTAAATATGATTATTAGAATTAAAAGAATAATAAAGTATGTGAGAAAAAAAATAAATAATAAATAAAAAATAAATCTTAACTTAAGTAAATGCATGATAAGTAGTAAGTAATAAAGCAAATAACAAAGAAACGTAGTTAAGCAAACAATATAAAGTATAGATATAAAGTCTAGCATAACTAGAAAACAAAATCTGTTAAAAGTCCAAAGCATAATTATTGAATTTTACCCCTATCTATAAATATATAATTAATAATTAATTAAAAAGAAAATTAAAAAAAAATGTTTAAAATAAAACAACTCTTTCCGACGATTATCTGTATCAAAAAATCCAAACATATTTTTTGTAAAAATACAATAGCATTTAGTAAAACACAGAGGGCATACTAGTTGCTATAAGTCGGCAATTGTTATTTAGAGATAGTTCTCATATACTACCTGCTAACTTCTTTAGAGTTTATCACTTACCGCACGCACGGCATTTGTCGTTTAGAAGTAGTTCTTATACGCTACTTGCCGACAAGCCCAGAGTTTATCACTTACCGAAAAAAGAATATAGGTGCCCCACCCCTTTTCTAAAAGAAGGTTTAGAAGTTTTTGAGTCTTTACATGGATGTAACTACTTTCTTTGGGTGCAAGTGGTCTTTTTCTAGGTGTTTTTCGCTTGGCCGGTTTTTCTCTAAAATTTTTGACAAAAAGTGGTTGATTTGGTTTACTCTCTTCAAAAGATCGGTGTTGTTTACCTCCCAAATTCGGAAGTACCCAGAAATGCAACCACGTGCCTTGTTTATCAGTGGATATGTGATGTGATGTAGTCTACGGATACGGGATCTCCATGTGACTGGGATCAGGTCTATAGTGGCATCTGAAAGTGGTCGGTAGTCGGATAATAATTTGTTGGATTTTGTAGTCGAGATATACAAATATTGCAGTTGTTATAAAATTTTTTCTTAAACCTGGCATGGGTTATAATAGTGTATTTTTCTTCGTTCCATTTGTACTGCTTCTTGATAGAGGTAGTTTTCTTTGTTGGCCCTTGGGCTTTTCTCTTTAATTTTCTTTTTTTATATTTCATTGTACCCCTTTTATTTTTCTTTTAAAATTTCCCCTTCATTCTATTTGTGTTTTTTTTTTAGTTAGTTTTTCATTTTGTTTTCTTGGTATTATTGGTGGTTTTGTATTGGATATAAGATCATCACTTTC